ACATGCATAGAGCGGGATAATACGCAGAGCGTCACACCACGTGAAAGTGAAACCTGAGCTGTGAACTAATTTTCGGCAGCCGAAATTTCGGTGCATCTCTAACTATTGGTGACATCAGAAATGGATATTATATAATAGATGCTTTTTTGAACATTTTAGCTATTTAAAAATATTAAAAAAGGATTTTTTACACGGCACCCCTGCTCTCGACAGACGGCACCCCAGGGTGCCGCGGCACCCCGGTTGGGAAACACTGCTCTATTACACCGTCTAAAGTACGTTAAGTGCCCATGCTGTGCTCTTACTACATCTGATAAACAAGCACCCACAATTTCTCCTATAGATCTACCTGGTGCAGGTAACTGTAGTCTGTCACTCCCCTGTAAATCCCTGGAATTTCCACAGGCCCTTCTCCTGACGGCCTCCCCCACCCCTCCCTAATCCTACCACACAACTGTCTGTGTCATTTATTCCCACTGGAGGGATGAAAGGAAGCTTAAGAGTGTGCTTGGAAGATTTGGGCACTGATAGTTAGGAACAGATGAGAGACCGCAGTGAGTTGTGATTTACATCAACCAGTCAAACAAATCTCAATTTCTTGCAGTCTAAATTTTCCTTCATCTCATCTTATAAAATTCTACAAACATTGTCATGTTATCTGAAGTCATGCTGCCTGCGATGTTCATTCAAACCATTTTGGTTGAAAAGTAATGGATGCAACAGGCTTCACCTACTGGCAAAAACTGGAAGGTATTTTAAGACTACTGCAATAAAATAATGAGCAAATTATGTACATTAGGTCTTCAAATGCCAGTTTGTGTGCAAATTTTATCAAAAAAATGTTAATTATGGGAAAATTGTTTCCCATAATTCTGTGTGGCAAGAGCCTGTCGCCCAGTAAATCTGTATTTTCTAGCATGCATGATCACTATTATTTGTTAACAGTACAAAAAAATGTTCACACAATCTCCTGCCAATTTGTAACAATTTTACATTTTGGTGAACTAGTAGCTAATTTGTATGAATTCACAATAGATTTCACACAGTAACACAAACAAACAAACACATGGTGTCCTGATTATCCCACTGAAAAACAAAATCACTACCTTTTAAAAAAGTTGTTTTCCCATGAGACTGGGTTGATAAATGCAAATAAAACATGTATTAATCTTCTAAAAATGAATGCACACTCCTCTCATGAATTGAACACCACAGGTGCATCTTCACATCAAAGTAATGCAACATGGATGTTAATGGAATATTTCACCGAAAAATAAGTTAAAATTGTTATTATCTACTCACCCTTGTGTCAGCAAGTAAGTAAACACCATAAAAGCAGTATACAAAAGCCATGTAAAGATATGTCTATTTCCACAGAAAAAGCAACAATTGCATAAAGTCTAGAACAGAATATTTTGCAAAGAGATGATTGTATGTTTCTAATATAATAGAGCAGTTTACAGATTTTATAAATCTGAATTATCTTTGCATAGATGTTCAAGATATTAATGATGTCAACAATTTACTGAACAAGAATAATTGTTCCTGAATGATCAGTCTGTATTCATACTGAACTATTTGACCTGCTATATGTACCATAAATGAGGTAATGTAGTCTGCTACAAACAAACCATGTTAATAAAAATATATTTTTAAGAGTCATAATTGAATCTTTGATGTTTTAACCCAAATTAAATTTAGAATTTTTTAGGGATTTGTGGAAAACAGAACCTATTATTATAGTGGAAATGATCAGATTTACGCATATAAACTGTAAAAATGTATTTTCAAAGTTGTAAATAAAACAGAGATTATTGGAGTATGTTTTACAAGAATTTACATGTAATTCAATGTGTTACTTGCATTACAAGTAACGCGAGTTACGTAATCAGATTACTTTTTTCAAGTAACCAGTAAAGTAACGCATTACTTTTTAATTTAAATTAATTTAGATTACTTTTTAATAAGAAAATATCTGAGTTACTTTTTTCAAATAAGTAACGCCAGTTACTTTGTTTTCCAATTTATTGACGGACAGCCCTCCTGTCCCATGCTAAAGGAAATCGGGAGTAAATGCAGAGGCGTTGTGTGCGCTGTGTAAACATGATGGTTACTATAGTTCTACACTAAATGTGAACATGCATTTACTTTTTACTTTTTATATTAAAAACAAACAAGCAAGCAAGCCCAGCTCAGATTTAAACAGTGACGCAAAAGCAATGCATTAGTAATGTAACGCATTACTTTCTATAAAAATAACTAAGTAAAATAATTAGTTACTTTTTTAGGGAGTAATGCAATATTGTAATGCATTACTTTTAAAAGTAGCTTTCCCGTCTGTGCCGATAGCCTCATGGGCAGCGCGCTGACATATAGATCCATTGTGCTATGGGCGACCGGACTTCAAATCCCGGCTCGCGGTCTATTCCCAATCCTGCCACCCCCCTCTCTCCCACCTTGTTGTGGATTACCAATTTAAGTAAATTTATTAAGTTGATCCAACTGTTCACATTTTACAGTGCAGGTTTGGAATGACAGGAGTAAATAATGACGATTTAATTTTTGGAATAAAAAATGATTCTATCTATTTATTAAACATTTGTGTCATAATATTGTGGTTGCCACCATATCATAAAAAGCAATAAGCCAGCTTTACAAAAACATACAAATATAAGGGTGGGCCAGATTTGTGGAACCCCATGTGAGACGGTTACCAAAATGAAAGATGACTATCAGGATACAGGCGCAACATTCCTCCACTAACACTGGTGCACTGGCTGAGAGCAAAGCAACAATGTGGGGCTTGTTGCTCCAGCCCTTCTGCCCCAAGTAACGCCCTGACTGGCCTTCCAAATCTGACCCCACCACCCAGAGCAGACCACCCCATCAGAAGAGTCCCATGTAAGACGTCTTTGAGCAGTTCACACAGTGAACTTTTCCCTGAAATATAGCATGCAATTCAACAGGGCTTACTGTGTTTGCATGTACAAGAATATTCCATTATTAATCAGAATTTGGCCTCTTTTGATTATGTAAACACATGAACCAATAGCTTTTGAGCATGCAAACATACTTTGCATGTAAATATGGTCAGTATGTGTCAACAAGTAGCCAGCATACATGATAGTCACCATTGTCAGAAATTAATTTATTAAAGACAAATATTTATATTTATTCATAAAAATGTATAATGTCATTAATTAAGTCAAATAATTCATCTAAGTTAAGTAATTACATTCTAAACAATTGGGCGCTATATTATTAAATTATCATTTTATTTTATTTTTTTGCCCTCACTTTTAAAATATCTGGGGTATTTTTATCACTTTTGTTGGCTTATTCCACCAAGTCCTGATTAATGTCTGACCCTGAAATCATCAATAATTTTTACAAATCATCCCAGACAATGTCCAAAGATGTAAAACATCTCTAAAATATCTGTAAATTATCTCTAAAATATCAAATTATTTTGATTTATGTGGTCACTAAAAAAATAGGTGTCCAAAAATAAATAAATAAATAAAAATAAATAAATAAATGAATAAATAAAATAAAATAAAAAGAATTGTGTCAGTTTTGATTATGTAAGCATCACATGAACCAACAGCTTTTAAGCACATTAAACGTACTTTTCAGAATAATATGAACCATGAATATGATGCACATATGAATGCATTCAGTATGTGAAATAATAAAATAAAATAATAAATCAAATTTAACAAAAGACCTAATCTATAAATAGGCAAGAACGCACAAATTTCCAATCTGGATTCCATCCGTAATTAAACTGTGCAATGATGCAACTCATTCATTGATCCAAATGTGAACAGAACAGTATTGTCTACGCTTAGTCTTGGGTTTGCCCTGATTTCTCACTGTCTGGTCGTTTTCTCACTGTCTGGTCGTGTAGGAGACTGTGTTTATTTTCCCTGTGAGGTCTGCACAGAAGATTCTGGGTTTGTTTTTCATACATAACTGTATAGGCGGGGTTGCTGATACAATCTAACATCTGTCAACACATTAAACACACTACCAACCAAAAGTTCAGACACACGACTGTCTTTTGACCTTTAAAGGTGTATGCTTAAATGCTTTAAAAGAGTTTTGTACATAAATAGCCTATAAATTGCACTTTTCCAACATGTAAGATGGATAAGTTGGATCAGATATTGAATAAAAAGCAGTCAACAAGTAGCCATCATACATGGTGGTCACCAGTGTCAGAAATGTATTTATTAAGGACCAGTTTTTATATTTAAAGTGTATAATGTCATCAATTTAAATCAAATAAAGAAATTAAGTCAAGTTAATTAAACGTTAAATAATATTGGGTTATATTCATAAAACAAATAAGCATCTGGGGCATTTTTTTCTCGCTTTTGGTGGCATTTCCCCCCAACTTCTGCTTAATGTCAAACTTCTAAATACCTCTAAAATATCAGACCGTTTTGATTTGTTTGGTCACTCCATAAAAAGTAGGTGTGTCAACTTTTGACTGGTTTTGACTAGTTGATTTATTTACCGACAACAACATAAAAATAAAACGAAAAGTAAAAATATATAACATCTGCACCAATTATTCATCTTTCTGAGAGAGGAAAAAGTTAAACCAACGTCAAAATACTGTTACAGCTTCACTGTCAAGTTCACAGCAACTTCAAGAACCTTCGACGGACTAGACATTCCTGCATCAACCCATGTGCGCCCTACCTTAGATAAGAGCCTCTTTTCCTCTTTCTTTTTCTCCACATGCTGATCCAAAGGCATCTGCAGAAAATCGTCTTCACAGCAGATGAAGCTCACGGTGCATCCCATCCAGACAGGTTCAGGTGAGCGTCCTTACGACCCATTCAACGCGTGCGTTCTCGTGATTATTCCTCCTGAAGGTCAGCGCGGCAGGTATGAGCTCTGATCAAACACTCGCGCATTTCAGCCCAAAAGAGATCCAACAGGCGTTATTCCATCAGCGGCGGCGTCTTCGCGCGCGATGTTCGCTTTGACCACAAAACTCCCATTCAGAATGACGCACCGAGGCAGTAGGAAGGACTGGAGAGTGAGGGAGGGAGAGTTTGTAAACTGGGATGTGTATCTCCACTGTCGCTCTCTCATGCCGCGCGCTATGAGCGCACACTCCCGGAGCCTCAGGAAACGCAACTGGCGTTCAATGTAAACACAGGCCGCTACTCTTGTAATGTGCGGAGCGTTTCATTGCGCAAACAACTGCACAGGTACAAGAGGGGTTTTCAAGTCATGTGGGTTTTACACTATCTGTATATATACCCATGTAACTATAGATTCAAGTGACTTTAAGCATTGGTAACATTTTAAAGGGGTCATATGATGCGATTTCAATTTTTCCTTTCTCTTTGGAGTGTTACAAGCTCTTGGTGCATAAAGAAGATCTGTAAAGTTGCAAAGACTAAAGTCTCAAATCCAAAGAGATATTCTTTATAAAAGTTAAGAGTCAGCCACACCTTCCTAAAACGGCTGGTTCTAAGATGCCCCCACATGTCTACATCACTATGTGGGAAGATTTGCATAACAAATTACAGACATAGCTTACGCATTTACGCAAATAAAAAAAAGTTTAATAATAACAATAAGGCAAAGGAAAAGGCAAAAAAACTACAATGATTTGTTTTGTTATTTAAATATTAATTTAAAAGTAAAATTAAACGTTAATTTCCATCTATGTATCTATCTATCTATCTATCTATCTAGGCTTTATCAAGGCCACATGACAGCTTGTTTTTATGGACTTTCCTTTTCTAGTTGTCAATAGAGTTGTAAGCGGTGAGATCAAAGCAATATAATCAACACACGTTGATCATCAACACATCAGTACACGTAGTTACTGATCCCGCCATTGTTTTCATGTACTACCCTAAAATTAAAGGTTCAGAGGCTAGAATATCTTGGCTGGGAATTTTCAGTGTGCATTCCAACTTAATGTGCCATTTGTGATGGGGTTATGCATGTCCTCCACACCCTGAGATGCCAGCCAGAATACCTCGAACAAATGGTCGACAGCTATTTATAAAAGACAGGATTTCTGGTTTAATTTTCTGTTAGGAATGACATAAAAATGTCAGTTCAAGGCACTACAGTAAGTGTACAATAATGATTTATAGTCGGAGCTGTCAGGTTTGATTTGGCGAAAAAATTTCAGGATTTCATTGACTTTTGCATAATTATACATAAATTAAATTAAATTAAATAATGGGTCTCATTCACTAATTGGGTGGTTTTATACAGACCCAAATTACAGAGCTGTACCTAGTCAGCACATACACTGTATATGATGGAATATATTTAAGCTGAAATATCTATGTATAAAATTTAATCTCAACACAATTCTAACTGTAATTTTTGCGTATGAGTAGTTTCAGTTGTTCCTACATTTTTTGATAAATGTAGAATAAATTTTAGTGTGAAAGATACTGGTGACTCGATTTGCTCGTGAAAACATTTGGACGCAGTTTTCACAAGCAAATTTGTGTGTACAGTACACACGATCAGTGTTGGGGAAAGTTACTTTTAAAAGTAATGCATTACAATATTGCGTTACTCCCTAAAAAGTAACTAATTACGTTACTTAGTTACTTTTTATGGAAAGTAATGCGTTACATTACTTTTGCGTTACTTTCGCGTTACTTTTTAAATATGAGCAGGGCTTGATTGTTTTTAATATAAGAAGTTCTATTTATAGCAAATGTAAAAGCCCTTTCACACCAAAAAGTGTAATGAATAAACCTCAGGCTAAAGGAAAAGTAAATTCACGTCTGTACAGTAGATCTGATTACGTAACTGGCGTTACTTGTAATGTGTTACCCCCAACACTGCACACGATTAGTAAATGAGACTCACTGTTCCTCCACAAGTAACCTGCAATTTTATGTTGCAACCAGAGATGTCGATAGAGAGCTCGGAATTCTGCACCTTGAAGTCAACATAAAATTGTGTTCACAACCTATTTTAATAATGTAATCTGAACTACTAAAGCAAAAAATGAGTATTTTACATTAGTGACATCAGCTGAAAAAGAAAGTTATTTCACATTATTTTTTTTCTTCTTTTTGTTATAATGTGCGCAGATGAATCATTCACAGTAAGACAGCAATGTGCATTCAGAAAGTAAATAAAGAGTTTTGACTTACCATTAAGTGTAAGCAGTGTCTGAATTTAATTAAAACTAGAGAGTCTGTTTAGTATTTGAGAAGACATGAATATATTGAGCGAATGTGAATATTACATCATAACCAATATTTGGCTAGAACGTTCAATGCACGCAATGGATTTAGAATGGAGAGCGCAGCCTTGTCTGATTTAATGAAAGACTTTTCTGTTGTTTATAGGAGAGCAGACAGCTGGGTCTCTGCTTAAGTGGTCAAAAAGAGATAAACAGTGTTATGATTAAAAATGTGTGCTCCTGGTTCGCCTTTACCAGCAGAAAAAGCACTTTTTTAATTGCACTTAATGGACGATTTAAATCCCTGAATCAATACATCACTGATTCAGCAAGCAAAGTGGACCATGTAAAAGCTTTTGGCCATAAAATGCATGTGAGTGGACACTCGATTTATTCCTAGCAGCTTTAGTGATTGAGTTTGTGCTGTTGTATGACTTCACTTGCTCAGGCTGAATGGTTGAATTGCATGGACTGATAAGGAATAGTTTAAATAATGACTTCCTTCCTCGAGAATTTGCATGTATTCTGTCCAGCAGCTCATTTGTTTTTGCAAATTTTTTGTGCAAAAAAATCAAAATACTGAGAAAATCGCCTTTAAAGTTGTCCAAATTAAGTTTTTAGCAATGCATATTACTAATCAAAAATTAAGTTTTGATATATTTACGGTAGGAAATTTACAAAATATCTTCATGGAACATGATCTTTACTTAATATCCTAATGATTTTTGGCATAAAAGAAAAATCGATAATTTTGACCTGTTTGGCTACACTGTAAAAACAAATCCCGTAAAAAAACGGTAAAATTCCAGCAGCTGGGGTGCCGGAAAATTACCGTAAAATAACGGGCACATTAAATAACAGTAATTTTCCGTAATTCAAAAATACAGTGTTTTGCTGTCATTTTACATGAGATTTTCTGTATTTTCTTCAGCTTTTAATGTTCAATAAGGAGCTTTACTTAAATACTGTGGAAAGTTAAGTAAAAACCATTAAATTATCATTATTAAGTTTGAACACTGCTTTAATTCGAATACTGCTTTCATTCTTGATTCCTAAACCTATATGAATGGTTTTGATAAATGAGACACAATCAAAGTTGTCTTTAATCTTAATTTTGATGGCATGAAATAACACAAAACTCATTCTTGTTTCATTTTGAGTTCAACATATTAAAGATTCAGTTAGTGAGTGAGTCAATACACAGATTCACACTGTAAACACTGAGTTTGAGACTGATTCCAATGGTTCATTGAAATGATACATCAAAAAGATCACAAAAAGATTACGCTTTATTTTAAAGGCATGAAATAACAGAAAACTGGTTCTAGGCTCATTTTAAAGATTCAGTTTAAGTGAGTCATTAGACTGATTCACAATGCAAACACTTTGAGTTTGAGATGGATTCCGGTGTTTCATTAAAATGATTCGTCAAACAGAATCAGTTAAAAAGAATCATTTGTTTGTGAATCAGACTACACTGTTTGCTCTGCATGTTAATGAAAATCAACATAATTTTGTGAATAAAATGTGTTATGTGACATTTCTCAATATTGCTGTAGAAATCATAAGTGTAGCCATGACTGAAATTGAAAGCCTTTTAGTTATGGGCAAGTGTGTAATATATCTGTGAGCACATGATGGCTTTTAATGTCTGTGTAGATTGAAATAGAAGTGCTAGTATATAACCGTTTGGAGAGGGTGTTATCTTTGGAGCAAAGCCTAAACTTTATGAGTCTGTTTAGTGCTATGTCCTCTCAAGACTAAAGTTTACCCATCCATCTGAAGCAAACCAGCCACACAAAAACATCACAAACAAGTCTTACACATGTAATATGTTCTGCTTCGAGATGAATTTTCACCTGTTAAAATAAGCAAAAATCACAATTAGGGTTTTGTGGCTGTCTTTTAGCTTTGAGGCAGCTCGGGCTGAACACTAGGGCTTTGTTTTTCTGCTGTTGGCATTTTTAAGGAAATGTACCATATTAGCGTAGAGGTGGGATAACACATAATGAAGGATAACTACATTAGTGCCACAATAGCCAAGGTCAAGGATCAAAGCACCTCTTTCAGCCCATTACGGAGTCCAATTTGTCTCTGTCCTTTTTCCATTGACCATTGATTCCATTAGTGTTGAGCTCAGACGGTCAGCTGAGGCTTCTTAACTCAGAGGAATGACATTGCCATAATTGAGAGAAATAAAAAAGGACCGACAGAAAATTCCTTGACAATCTTCTGTTTCAGAGTGTTTTTTTATCATTGTCATTGTTGCACCAACCATACTTTATCATTACTAATTATGAAAGAATTGTATTTATTTATTTATTTCTTGGTTTAACCCTTGTGCTGTGCTGAAAATCCTTTACATAATCTGGTGCTTCCTGTCAAATATGACCAGCAATATTGCTTGTAAATCTTTCATTATGCAATATTATCAACAAATCTTGGATTCAGTCTTTTTGGTCTTGTTGATCTGAGATTATGCACCTCAGTTTTTGAGTGAACGCTGCCAAGATTATCCACAAATAATGCTTTTTTCACTCAAAAACTAAGGTGCGTAAACTCAGATCAATGAGGCCTATGACCAATTAGTTCCAAAAAAGAAATACAAAACCTGTGCTAACTGAAAGAAAACAAGTCAATAAAAAGAATCTTATATGTGACCCTGGACCACAAAACCAGTCATAAGGGTACATTTTTTGAAATTGAGATTTATACATCATCTGAAAGCTGAATAAATAAGCTTTCCATTGATGTATGGTTTGAAAATCTGGAATCTGAGGGTGCAAAAAAAAATCTAAATACTGAGAAAATCGCATTTAAAGTTGTCCAAATGAAGTTCTTAGCAATGCATATTACTAATCAAAAATGAAGTTTTGATATATTTACGGTAGGAAATTTACAAAATATCTTCATGGAACATGA